TATAGACCCATACGGCTCTGTGTATAATCTGCACAGTTTTTATCATATATTCAGGATAGCACGAGCTGTAAATACCCTCCTTACAGAACTTAGATGGTCCGTAAGGGACATCCTTCTGGCTTAAAATAACGCAAGCAACAGCACATGCGCGGCCCAGGGTCATATCAGCACAGGTTCTGACAAGCCCACGAGCTCTGCTTTGTATTAGAACGGTATTTAAAAATTATTTTGAAAAAGGATTTTTATTTTACAGAAAGAAAAATGCTGTTATTTAAGATTTTTAAAGACTTGACATGTCTTCCGAAATAGTAACGCGACGTGTGAGAGATGACCCGAGAGATGAACCAAGATTAACAGACTCTTACGGCGATAAATAGTTATCAGAGTGCAAAACAAAATCTGTTTATCTAGAATGCATGGTCAACACATTCTTGTGTTACTATTACTACTTGTTGTTAACAGTTCGATGAAGCTTTAATAGTCTACGGACTGACAGCGAAAATATCAGTTAAAGTAAATTACCTACATAGGTACGAGCAAACTCGCCATGATTCACCAACGACGATTGTGCTAAACGAACGACGAAGAGCTAAGCTAAGTACTTTGACATCGTCTCAGGAATGCGGCCCCAAGGTCTTCGCGCCACTAAGCCGCTCCTCGCGTAGTACTATCGGTAAACAGCAATGTGTGATATTTATATTAGTTACGCAATGTTAATGAATGGTGAACGAGACTATGCAGCTATTTGCGTATGTGGTTTTTTTTGTGACGGTTATAATGTAAAACCATATATATGTAGAACCATGCGGTACGGACGGTAATCGTTTGATATGGATGATGGACAACATCTGTTCAAGTTAGTTCATTTAATTAGTAGTAGAGATAGTTAAGTTAATTTAAGTTTAATTTGTTTAATGCCAATCGTTTTTAAATCACATATGAAAATAACCAAATCCTGTAACATTATTTTTAAAATACTCTATTTATTTCAAAGACTAAAAATTATTTGTTGTAAAATCATTAATAATGCCTGAAAATAATAAATATCAAAATGGAATAAGAAATTGATATAACATGAATGAATATATTGTTAGAAGTAGAAACGATAACTGATTTAAAAAGAACTTAGTGGCCAGTAGTCCAGACTACATAGAAGTTGAACTATAATTCTAAGTAACCGAAACATTCGTTAATAATTCGGGTAGAGCTTCAGCACGCTACAGCAGCTGACGAAAAATGTTTTGTTTTTCGCTGGCCCAACCACTGTTGGCCTTAGGGGCCTTTACAGATAGCCTGTACCTCGATTTAATTACGAACACGGTGAGCGCCGCTCGTTTTATAGCCCGTTGCAGTGTTGCTATTTGATGTTACGACTTATTTCCAACAACATAATACTAGCTGGCCCGCGCAACATCGTCTGCGCCAAATCTACCGGGTCCATACATTTCGACTTTTAACATAGCGCTATCTATTGGATACTTACTCAATCCAGCCGATAAATTTACCTTACAAAAAAATCTTACGGAACTCACTGAAAAAATATAACTCTTTATCATCTAATAAACAATTTGCAAAAAATGATATTGCGACTATGAATTAAGATGTAAGCTCTGTAAGATCCTATCTTTCTATAAATTGAGATGTAAGCTCCTGTAAGATTATATCTTTCAAGTTGGATCAAACTGCACACAGTGTGCAAATTTGATTAAAATCAGTTTCGTAGGTAGTTTAGGATTCCTTTGCGGACAAACAACGTGACACGTAAATTATGTATATTTAGATAAATTTTCTTACAACTGAGATTCTGTTTGTTAAGGATTATTACAGAATGTACCATTTTTAATGTATATATATCTGAAAGTTCCATATTGCTGAACGGTTAAAGGTTTCGTAGGGTAATGCAAAAACGTAAAATCCTTTTTTTATTACACTTCTTGTGTCTTATCTCCGAAACTATTTACCCCAAAGTCATATACAAAATTTTTTATAAGGGGTAAGCTACTTTAATTAGATATGTTTTTAAGTTCAGATAATTATTACGACTATTTATGATTTTTCATAATCTAGCCTGCCAATACTTACAATTTACCATTATTGTAAACGATATTTCTATTTATTAAATATTTTTTACTGTTAAGAAAAGAAATTTGTTCGTTTACTGCATTTATTACCTACGGTTACCCAGTTACGCAATTTAATAAAATTTCTTTACAATTTTGTAACAGTACCTGTCCCATGGACATTGATTATGGGCAAGATTAGTATTTTCGTTCTATATTGATGTCAACTTAGTTCTTATCCGTCGTTTTTACTATTTGTGTTTTTTACTTACATTTTTAACACGCAGAAATAATTGGATGTTAGGTATAATCGTTATCCTGTGCTAAAAAATAAAAATTTACAAATGCAATGGTCTTACTAAAGTACCATCGTACACAATTCATTGCGCAACAAGGAATTACGCGGAAAACTGTCGAAACATTTTTTTAATGGTAACAATAAAGTTGCAGAGCTGGAGGAATTTTATTTTAGAACATATTATTTTAACCTTAGCATTTTCGTTGAAATTTAAAATTCATTACTATTTCACAGAAATTTTAAACCTGTTTAAAAGAATACAATATCACACAGGTTTATAGATAAAAAGCTTTTTGCTTGTAATATTGAACGTACTCGTCCTTATATATTCTACAAAAAAGCTACCATTTTATTATATTCTTAATTAAATATAGTTTTCCTAGTATATTAGATAAAGCAAGAATTACTTATTTCAACTAACTTTTTATTTTATTAAATAATGGATATAACCATATTTTCATCGTCTCGGCGAAAGACGCAAGTAGTAGCAATCTGGACAGGTAAAGCTTCCAATACCTCTTGCAATATGTCCATAAATTCAAGGAAATGTACATCAGCTTTGATCTACGGACTGTATTAGTGAAGAAAAAAGCTAAACTTAATCGGCCAATGCTTAGCTTAGAACGCTCCACAAAATTACGGAGAAAGTCATTCTATTGGCTACCTGTTTAGATTCACATTAATTGTCATTTTTTATCTTCGTGTTTGCAGAATTTTATCAATTTTGATAAAAATTTGATCGTTTAACTAAATGAAACCATAGCGAGCTAATTGTGTCTTCTTTCTTATAGCCATATAATCGACTCGTTTTTAAGTCATAGTCGTTAGTCGAATTATTTTTAATCAGCCATAAACTAATCAGTTTCAAAAAAATTGCCAACGCTAATAAAATGTAATATTTCACGGCAAAAATATCCTCAAATAATTCACGAAATAATCACTAATTGTTATTGACAAATATTGATGACTTATTATAAAACATTCATCATAAGTAAATGCTACGAAATTAAATAAATCTGCAATTCAAGGACAATAATTCTGTTATCATAAAATTTGTTAGTAATTATTATTTTGTAATTGTCGTACATTTCGATCGCATTACACATAGAAATTTCTTGGATGTAAGCGATGTCTCCGTCATTCCATTGTTCCCGAGTCATTTAATAAATAAATAAATAAAATAAAAATATCTTTATTCACATAGACGCTTGCGCGTTCTTATGAAACGTCAAAATTTGCATGCCTTATAAAGCTAGTGTCACGCTATGACAAACCTTCAGTATTAGGCCAAGGTGTGTGCCACAGCATATTTTTTTTAATATATAATTCCTCCGCATTATACACACGTTAGTCATGTGGGTTTGAAGTTATTTTGTTTATGCAGGTTGTGGAACTAACTTGAACTTTTGAAGGAGAATTGCATTAATATATACACACTACTCAAAAGTTTTTGAAACACGTGATGAAATATGGGAATGAATTTTAAATAGTATTACATTTTTTTTATAGATTTTTGATTATCTCTCCTAACTATAATGGCCAAAAACAATGTAGCCGTCTGTGGGAAGGCCTATGTTCACCTATGGACTTAAACAGGCAATGATGATGATTTTATTAGGTATAAATAATAGTTTAGTGAACAAATATTATAACCGTATTTATAAAACCCCGTGTTAATTAGAAAGCAGTTATGTCACTAACCTTCTTTTCCATTTAGTTTAATCCAGAATTTTTTCTCCTGTCTTGGAAAGAATCTAGACGTAAATAATTTAAGTCAAATAGAATGGTGATTTTGTAATTAATAAAGTATTAAGTGCACATTGTAATTAAATGTGCACTTAATACTTAATCAATTACATCCTCGGTTGCGCCATTCTTCAGCGTTGCTTCAGCGTTGGGGTCGTGGGTTAGTATTTGTGTGATTCGCAGATGATTGTTGCGGATCTGGGTGTTTGTATGTATATGTTTGTGTTTGTCCATAGAAAGGTTGACCTCAGGAAGGCGGTCGTAAAAAAAATTGCCAAAACCACTTACAACATGATTCACATGTTGTGCCGACCACACCTATGTGGGATAAGGGCAGGGGTTATATAATGAAGAATTTAAGAATTTAGAATAAAGGGATAAGCCTGCCCTAATGCTATTATATTTACATTTTTTCAGTTCATTCTACAATTTCTAGTTATTGAACTACGCATGTCTTATATATATATAATCGGATATAATCGGAATCTCGGAAACGGTTCCAGCGATTTTCATGACATTTAGTATGTGCGTAGATTCGGGGGCGAAAAATCCATTTAGCTAGGTTTCATCTTTAGAAAATGTCCTTTTATCCCTGTTTTCAGGGAAAGAAAAATATATAATTTTTCCCATTTTTTTTAAAGTTCTTTCTTTTGTGAAAAAACAACAGTTCATATTTTCTTATTATTACGTAGGTAAGATCGAAAAATATTATGCAAATTTCATTACTCAGTAATTTGTATCTAAATGTAATTTCCAAAATACACGATTTACCAAAAAAAAGTCCTCCAGGTACTATTCTATTATTCTACAAACATATGTACAAATTCGCACCAACACTAATATATTCCTATTGCCGTCAAAATCGCTCACGTATATGGTTTGATGTTTACCTTCAGCTTGGTGTCACTTCAATCCCTGGAGTTGAGAGAGAACCTGCTGAAGTCGTTGCCAGAATCATTGAAAAATTTAACGAAGTTGGAGCGTTTAGATCTGGGCGACAACGAGATAGAGGAGTTGGTAAGTTTCGAGTTTTTCGTATAAAATAGTTCACCGGTTGTAACGCACTGTCGCACATCAGTTAATTCTTCACAAGTTATTCATTTCGTAAAAGTGCAGTTAAACAAACAATACCGCAATCCATCAACCCTGTTACACAAATAGCTTATTTACGGAAGCCATGAAAATTGGCTCAGCCAGCCGCGGCACAGACGTTGATTACGTTTTTATTCCCACGGCAACGTTACGACAATATAACGGCTGTTATAACAATTTTTTTCTTTTTAATAGGCTATTATTTTGAAACTTATTGTTGCAGTAAAGTAAAAATTTTCCAATTGTAACAATTGTGTTTGCCTCTCAGCCGGGTTTCATTGGCGAGCTGCCCGCGCTCGAGGAGTTATGGTTGGACCACAACAAGCTGCAGTATTTGCCACCGGAAATCGGAAACTTGAAGGCGCTCGTCTGTTTAGACGTCAGCGAGAACAAGTTGGAGAAACTGCCGGAGAAGATCGGGGGCCTTTGCTCTCTGACCGATTTGCATCTGTCGCAGAACATGCTCGAAACTGTGCCGGATGGCATCGGCGATCTCTCCAAGCTGGCCATACTGAAGTTGGATCAGAATCGATTGCACACTTTAAACGAAAACGTCGGAAGGTCAGTCCTTTTGTTCTAACAACGGATTTGTTCTCGTCGATAAACCTCTTTTACATGTGCTTAAATTCTTTTACCTCTTTTGTCTTTTGAAGTTTCTAACTCTATTAAAAATTTTACTCTGTTAAATTCCTGCTTTTTATAATTTTTTCCGTGTGATTGTAACTATGATGATGAATTTAGCTAACCATAAGTATGTAGTAGTATGCGTAGTGCTAAGAGATACTTCGAAATGTGAAATTGCAACTGCGCAAGCTAACGAAAAGTATGTTGGCGTACGTGAAGATTGCTCTCAACTTTCGATTATAAGACTAGAATGACTAGGAATTTGGCAAGAAATATAATGTCTTATATATGATGCATTGATTGAACATGTATAGATAAGAGGCATGATAAAACTATAACACTAAAGACTCAAAATGTTAGGTTAAGTACAGTTTTACGTCTTACGCTTTCTCTCCACATATACATCAGGCTAAGTATTGAAAAATAAAACTTATGACAATTCCATCTAGATATACATATCTATGAATTACCAATGATACATGTTTTGTAAACTGGCTCGGGTTAAAATGTCAGTGATTTACTAACGATAAGTGATGTTGTAATCATAGATGTTATTATGAAATTAAACCTCTTGTTATACTTTTTCCAGATGCACGAACCTCCAAGAACTGATATTAACGGAGAACTTCCTAATGGAGCTGCCAAAGTCGATAGGCAACCTAAACGAACTGACGGTACTGAATGTGGATAGGAACTCTTTGGCGGATATACCACTGGAGATCGGCAATATGACGCTGCTGGGCGTCCTAAGCTTGAGGGACAACAAGCTAACGAAGCTGCCGAACGAATTGGGCAACTGTAAATCACTGCACGTGTTGGACGTCAGCGGTAACAGGTAAGAAGCTGGGTTTACACACAACTCTATGAGGTTTATGAACATATTGGTGACGTACCTATATAATTTGGAAGTAGGCATGAGATATACCTGCAACATTCTATACCCGGCCTCAAAGGTACGGGTATCGCCGTATACCCGGTGCTAAAACCCAGTATCAAAATACCTATAGGTATTAGTTATATTCAGGCCTCCTAATGGAGACCCGGTATGGAATTGAACCTTTATTTGGTTGGAATTGGGGAACATTTAGATGTTTTTTTAGCAATCATTTTTTTTTAATTGAGATTTAATCAGTCTAAATTAAGCTCCATCTTTACCAACGTAAAGAACCCTATTATAAAAAAAAAGTAATTCAAAATAAATATTACTGTTTAATCTTATTACGCAATTATTTATCTACCTAATTGTCATAGAAACAAAGAATAAATTTATCTCAAGGAAATATTTGGTATAAAATGCGTAAATCATACTTTTCAATTCGGGCATGATCGGAAAGAGCCGCCGTTAGCGTTCGCGGAACTTCGTACCTATTCGGCCGGCCGGTTGTCGCGAGCGTATATACCGCCACCGTCGGACGAGGCGGCCATAGCCATACCTATCGGTGCGGATATGGAACGGGCCTCTGCCGTACATACGTCATACCCGGTATGCGGGCGGGTTGTCGCGAGCGTTATATACCGCCACCGTCGGACGAGGCGGCCATACCCAGCCATACCTATCGGGTATGGAACGGGCCTCTGCCGTACATACCCGGTGTGCGTACTGGCATGTTCAAACTGGGTATTTATACCTGTTCCAGTATATACGCCTCATCCCTATTTGGAAGTATTTTTTAATGTAAGTAACCTGTAGAAACGTTGGATTTTGATGAAATTGCGTTTTAGTTGTTATATTACACGTTTGTGAAAAAGGCAATTATGTCGTGGAACAACACTAGAGTTGTAGAATAGAAATGCTATTTTTTTAAATATCTCACCACTTTCCCATTCTGTATAATAAGACAGGCTTGTATTTGCAAGAATAGAACTACTAAATAATGTCTACCATTATAGTACAGCTACCCAATCTACCACCTTACTACTGTTCTTTTAAAAGCTATTACCTTTAAACTGTGGTAGGACCACGCAACAGTCTTCCCTGCGTCTTGTGAGCGTGGTAACCGGAGCCTACACGGGTGTTGCAAATGTCATTGGGCGGCGTTTATCACTTAACATCAGGTGAACCGCCAGCTCGCTAGCCATCTTCACTACATAGTATAAATAAAGTCATCCCGCTGTCTGTTCCTATGCTTAGATCTTTAAAACTACGCAACGGATCTCGATGCGTTTTTTTTTACAATATAGAGTGATTCAAGAGGAAGGTTTACATATGTAATACATTGCACCCGTGCAAAGCCGGGGCGGGTCGCTAGTCTCATATAAAAAGAAGTTTGTCGCGTACTTACATTAGTACTTCGAGTAGCATTAACTCATGATCGAGAGTCGAATTGACTCGTGCCCGTTTTTACCAGATTACAGTATCTGCCGTACACGCTGGTGAACCTGGAGCTGAAAGCGGTGTGGCTGTCCGAGAACCAGGCGCAGCCGCTGCTCACCTTCCAAACGGACAGGGACGAGAGCACGGGCGAGAGCGTGCTCACGTGCTTCCTCCTGCCACAGCTCAGCTACACGCAGCAGCCAGGTACGGGCGGCGCGCGGACGCCGCTGCAGCTTCATATCGCTTTCGGTGTAACGTTTTTAGACTGTGCGACGCAGTTTCCGCTCGAGCATCGGGCGCGTCCCGTTAGCTGGACGCGAAACTGTTTCCAGTCATGAATGCATTCATGACGGATGTTGTTAAGGATAACATTTAGCATACAAAACGTTGCTCGCGGTCCGCCCGCGGCTTGCTTTGGACTTGACAAAAGCTTACATAAGCTTTTGTTAAGTTCGAAAGAAATCTTGTTTACCAAAAAAAAAATATTGTTTTTTAGTTTTGGTCGGCGTTCTTCTGTTACTAACAAATATTCGAAATAAAATCAGATTTAAATCTTTGATACCTTCATTTATCCCAATGTTTTTTTTGAAATTCCGAATACATTAAATTTGATACATATTATCGCCATAATGTATGCTAAATGTTGTAAATTTTGTATGATGTTATTGTTTTTTTTTCGTACATTTTAAGCTTGTTGTGCTTTTGTTATATCGTTTAAAAATCTATGGCTGCTTGTAAGACGGCAAAAATTATATACTATAAATTATATAGAAAAAAAAAAGACAAAGCAGTTGTTTCTCTGTTTTGTCTCTTTATAAGTATAGTTCTATTGCTTCTATCACTATGTTTTTTTACTTGAACTGAATGTCCCATAAGCAGCCATGGCAATGTTTTGTTTTTGTTTTTGCTGTGTAAATATACTAAATAAAACTTTCCACACTTGTCACACCACAAATAGAATTGGATCACACATCAGAGGTCGGCAGTGTAACCTGGTTCAGGGATCACAGATTTAATTCACAGTCACAAGAGCTAGATAGGATAAGAGGTAAGTGTCACATACTTATATGTAGCGTAAGGAAAGGCAAATTGTTAATTATTAGAGAACAAATTTACAGAACAGTGTATGATTGCCTTTATATATAAAAATACACTAAATCACGTGTGACACGCGAAATATCGTCTAGCACACTAAATGCACTAGCTATCAATAAACGCTTAGCAATTTTTAGTTTCTAGAATATAGTGGATTTTATTTAGCTGGTTCTTCTTAGATCACTTAATTTATTGCACAAATTTTATTCATTTGGAGCACGTTGCAGCATTTCGATCATTACGGAGGGATACCTATTGGTAAGTATCAGAATCTAATGTTATATTTGCAAACATTGGTGTGAAAAGTGATAATTACCAATTCTTGATCAATGACTAAATGACTAATGACACTTGCAATGTGTTCATTTAAAATGAAAACGAATGCTCAAACTTCTTTGATGCAATTTATTTTAACAAAATTAATTAAAGACGATGTGGTGTTTATGGGAAGTGTAGCTATGGCTTATATTTGTTTCTGTTTCTAAATGTGGGATCTTCATGTCTTATTTGTTTTGTAAGAAATGTTTGTTTAACTTGTCCGTTGCGCTGGTTTTGTGTCTTCTTAATATTGTTTACTTAAAAGTTAATAGACATAGTATAAGAATATTATAAAGAACAACATTATAAACCACAAAAAACTTTATCTTGATAATCTTACAAGAAACACAAAGGAACGTTAAAAAATTAACGCAGTATTGTTATCGAGTTTGATCCTGAGCATTACTAAGTTTAGTGTTGATAAAAAGTGAAATGTTCATTACAACTAATTTGGAATAAAAAAACTTGTTTAATCGGTTAAGATTACGTTGCCATATACCGAGCCGAGCATGTATTTTATTCGTAATAGTTGTGGGGATAATTGAAATAGAATTTTTCTAATGAGATGCACTTTTGTAATTTGTATTTGATTGAACTAACCAAAATACGACAAACATTTGTCTTTTTAGTATAGAATTATCCTGTGTTGGAAGGACGTTTAACAAACATAAATTTAACGCGGACAAACACCCAGGTGCGAAAAAACTCTTTGTAGGTCACACAAATAGTTGTCCCGTGTGGGATTCGAACCCATGACCCCCGACGCCACGGAGTCATCAAAAATTTCGTCGTCCTCCCCCCCCCCCCCCCTCTTCTTGCTGCTTTAAAGGTATTAATGTATATCCGCGTCAACAGAATCAAGCGCGTCCCGCGACCGAGACTCGGACGAGGACTGGGAAGAGAAGGAGGCCTCCAGGACCCACTCGGTGAAGTTCACCGAGGACGTATCGGAGGCTAGAGAGGTGAGGGTATGCTGTTGTAACTTGTTTAGATCCAAAAAACCGGCCGTAAACGGTCGGCCACCTCGAAATGAGCACAGGACGCTGATACGCGACACGGCGTTAGTTTATCACAACTTGAGCACTCGGATTAGGGATAGATGGCGCCAAAGCAGATCGTGGTGCAATAACGTACGCGGCACGTACGCGAGGCACCGAGCTTACTCGGCTATGAGCTCTATTATTGTAGCGTTAGAGTAGGTTTTCCCACGCACCTCGATGTACAGTGTAATCAATTGTTATTGCGTAGAGTAAGAGATAATAGGGTTGTAACTTCATGATTTGTCAAGTGAAATCCGACGCCATATGTTATCAGTGTTTTTTTTATTCCAGCAGTATTATTTGTTTTAAAGCTAATTTTAATTTAAATAAAATTTATTTTTATTACTATTGTTTTATTTTGTTTGTCATATTATGTCATTGAAGTTTGTTTTTTAAACATGTTTGTTTTTGTAAAATTTGTTTAACTGTGTATTTTTATTTGTAAAGTATGCCTTAATTATTTGTTGTATGTTTCACTGTCGTTTTACTATTTAAATTCAATTTATTAATAAGCAGCGCACGCACAATAATGGACATATTTTATTTAAATCATCTACATTGAAAACAGGACTGTAATGTCTCTTACAAACTGAAAATACGGAAGATTTATTACCAAGATTCGAACAGGGAATCAACACTCTTTCGAATAGTAAATTATTTTTTTCTAAGTATTATGCGAAAAGTATAATAATTATACGAGGCATTTGATGTGAAGCTTTGGTATTTCCCTGGACAAGTCTATACATACTTGTTACAGCATAAGTGGCTCAACCACAATGTTCAGATAAATTATAACATAGTATAATTTTCAATTAAAATGTTATATAAATATTTTTTTTATCAGCCGTGATAGCTCAGTGTCCGGGCGCTCGCCTTTAATTCAATATACTCAAGCAACCTGAGTTCGATCCCCGGTGCCGGCACCAATGAAGTTTTTAACTTTAAGTGCTGACTTATCACGTGCTCCGCGGTGAAGGAAAACATCGTGAGGAAACCTGCATATTTTCGAAATAATAACAAAAAAATATATATTTCGAAGATGTGTGAAGTCCGCCAATCCGCAGTGGGGCCGCGTGGTGGACTATGCTCTGATACCCTCTGTATAGAGGAGGCCTTTGCCCAGCAGTGGGACATGTACAGGCTGTTACTTACTTGCTTATAAATATTTTTATAATACAGCCGTGATAGCTTAGTGTGCTTTTATTTCAATACTCGAGCAGACTGAGTTCGAATCACGGTGCAGAAAATAGTCAATTTTATGCACTGAATTATTTGCTCACAATTTAATAAAAACATAGTGAGTACAATATACGAAACAATTTTAATAATTATTTTTAAAATATGCAGGTTTAATTAATTTAATTTTTAATTAAACCTGCATATTTTCGAAATAATACAAAAAATATATATTTCGAAAATATGTGAAGTCTGCCAATCCGCAGGGGGTCGCGTACAGTACCCTGTGTACAGAGGAGGTCTTTGCCCAGCAGTGCGACTTGTGTAGACTATCACTTTTTTTGCTTTACTTTACATTATTAATATTTAGAAAATCAATGATCAGTTGACGAGCAATTCATTCAATTTATTCTTAACCTATAAGTGATAAGGCATACATTTCTACTTCTTTCTTGTAAACCAAGTGTCACTAGCTAATTCAAATAAATTTGAAACAGCCGGTTTGTGCTTGCGCTGCTACGTGACTTATGCATTTCTTCATATCTGTATGTATTTGTTCTCCATTTGTTAGTCGCGTGTTGAATATGTCGTTGTTTTGACATAATTTCTATTTGTGTACGTGCATCGTGCTGAAGTCATAAATGTGTGCACGTGAGTGGTGCGTGCGTATGTTAAGCTGATTGCATGTAAAACCACACACTGTTACCCCCACCTTGTTTTATAATCCAGAAAAGGAAGGTATTAATAACATAGGCAGATAGGTATTATCAGCGCATAGAATTTGTTATTGGTTTTAAACCTTATAACATTATTAGCCTTTTTTAAATGAACATAGAATGATTTTATGACATTCAAATATTTCTAAATTTAAGAAAATAGTTTTTTAAAGCTGAATTCGACGCTATGTTTGTTTTTTTTAATTCGATTTACACTAAAATTTGAAACTCATTGAAAACGAATTGGTCATACGGGTTCATAAAATTTCTAACTTTTAATAATATTCTATCTTGTTTTTTTTTTTCAATCTATAGGGAAACCAATTATGGACCATTGGTAAAGTTAAAAAAATGGGTTTTTCTAAGATTTTATATCAATCACTATTGTTGAATTTTTAAAAAGGCGATTTATGTGAAACGATAATTTATCCGAATATACTAATTATGCCACCTACTATTGTTTAAGTTTTTTTATTTATCTTCATAACATTTAATGATGACACGCAGGAAAAAAAGGAATAGAGAAATGTTTTAATTAGCAATGCGATCAAACATAATCCGGCGGAATCGAGTGCCGCCGCGTCGCCGACATATTGCGTTTCGTTTCAAGGTGACAACGATACAGGAGGACGGTGAGGAGATGACCGCTGACTCATTCTTCATGCCGCAGTCGATGTTAGGGCTCCGGCGGCCGCTCAACGCGGTCCGCAAACTGGTCGCGACACAGCGCAGGGGCTCCCTGCAACGCCACTCCCCCTCGATAACGAACCTCGCGGAGGTACACGGCGAAGCGTGGTGTGCATTCGCAATGGCAATTAAAAAAATTGAACATATTCACTACTTGATTTTACGCCAATATTATACATATTTATTATAAAATACAGTAGGTCCCGTGACCATGAACGCTGGAAATAGTTCGTAACGTCGGGAATTTCGAAATCAAAATAAAGACGCGATAAAATCCGTAAACAAGTTTCATTTAATAAAAATTAAACATCATTATATTCCAACTTGTTGTTATACAGGCCGCGCAAAACTCAACTGCGTCTAATTTACTCGCGAAACGCGGTTAGTAGGGATAGGAGTACATCATTCCGATTTGCGTAGACAGAATTTTCGACTTTATTTTGTTCTGTTAAGTGCATTTTTTGAAGTCTACGACGGGCGTATCTAAATTTTGCCCGGCATACACGTATATAAATCATAATGAAAGGTAAGCATGCAGTTTCAAGGCGCATGCGCAAGTTTTTGTTGGTCGTAGAATAAATTTATTTACTCTTGCGATAGCAGGCAGTTCTTGTATTTTTATCGGTTTGCGATAGTGGACAAATTCACTTTTTACTTGTAATTGTTAATATTTGTCAACACGTATCATGATAATGATATATACTATTTAAACAGGTTCTAAGTTTTGCCAATGCACGCCACATATCCTCTTGCTCGATACATGCCTCCAGTCCTGAATGTGATCCCTTAGATTTTGCTGTGTTGCCGCTGAAAGTAGACTGTAGAGATTATAGAACAGGATTACATCGTTATTGACATGTTTTTTCTTTTAATATACTGCGGTGAATTGACTTTTTACATTTTGTTGTCTTGAATTGTATTCACTATTATCAACTCCATACATTGTATTGTGATCAAATGTTTTGTCATTAGCTTTTTACTGGGTATGTTAAATTATGTTGAACATTGGTCTTATGTAGCATGTTATTTTATTTCGAATGACGCACATCTATAATGTAACGTGTAACGTTTATTTTAAACATTAGCGATGGCAATTTTGAACGAATCGAATTTTCATACGTAAATACAATTTTATTGAAATTATGACGAAAGTACTTTTGAAGTAAAATTTTATATTATTTAATATATAACTTACATTTTTATCTAAATGATGACATCGCCAAGGTTTAAAGTAAATAATTTACACCTATTGCCTAGACAAAAGAACATTTAAAATTTTATTAAATAATCTCATTTCCACCAATTTTAGACATTTTAATTTAGACTTATGCGTAGAATACAATCTAGAATGTTCTAAGAGCACATATCACTGTTTGAATTGCACTTACTTCGTAGATTAGTTGTGTACCGAGAGCAGGTCGCGTCGTCGCTCCGCGGAGGTGAGGATGAGTGTGATATCATATCCCGTGAATCATTACACCTCGGCGTTACATGCATTTAATAGGCTTAATGGCTAATACTTTTTCGGGTGGGATGCTCCGAGGGTTCCCTAAAAGCTGTTTACGAAGCCATCCATATTTTTTTGTATTCTCTCATGTTTTATTAAAGATGACACATGTCTATTCTGCGGGGCATTTAAAAAATGTTCCGCTTTACATAATATGACATATGTATATAAGTGACTGTGACAGATCATATAGAACTATTGAGAAGGACAAAAATATTAGACTTATAGAATTGCAATCTAATTACACAAAAAGGCGTAATTTGTTTGTCTCAATTTCGGTGTTCTAGAGTCAGTCATATGTACCTCGTATCTGTATATAATATTAGTGTTTAAAATGATAATTTTGCAGACAGCGTATGACATTATGTATCGATTTATTAAATTTTTATACTCTGTGTTGTTAGTAGTGTAGTCTTTTTCGATAATTTCGTTACGGTTGTTAACATTCCCATCGCATATTTATAAGTACGGAACCCTCTGCAACAAATTTTAAATTTGCCGTATTTGGATAAAATGTTTGAATTACCACGAAAGTGACCCTGGCGTACTGTTTTCATGTTCACACTAGAAAATTCGATGTTGGACAACTTTAAACTTTCACGACGAAATACGATAAATACGCTTTGTGATAAAAAAAAATCCATTCGTTTATAAATTACCTTTAACATAAGTTTAATATAGAACCGGCATGTGCATGATCGCTTCTCATTTCGTTTTTAACGATTTATTCGCAACATAGACTGATATCGTAGTGCGTTCGCAGACGCCGTTCGTGCGCCAGAACACACCTCACCCCAAGGAGCTGAAGCTCAAGGCCCACAAGCTGTTGGCCGGCCGGTCGCCTGAGCAGAACCAGCAAAGCGCCCCTCCTGAGGCGCCCACCACCAATGGAGTCGTCGCGTCACCGCCCGAAATCGTGCCCGCCGCAGAAACAATCGAAGTGAGTGCTTTCCTGAAGTCAATATGGCATTGCCTAATTATATATGGCTGTGGTAGAGCTTCTCTAGGGCTTCGGCTCACCAGACGAAACGCGAAAGTATTTGTCATACTTCCACTTTACGCCGGTCTTCTGTGAGGCCGTGGTAACTACCCGGACGAGCCCATTCGTAGAAAAGCAGAAGCTACTGCGACACATACCATGCCACAGTTACGAGTGGATGCCTTATTCATGATGGCTTAAAAGTTTCTTATATACTTAATATTTGACGTCACGTAAATAGATATCAAAATAATTTGTGATAATAAGTGATAGTACACGGATTGTACACACATTCGGCGGCTGGCGCAGAGTTAAAAAATCTTATTATTTTTATTTCCCGTAGCCTGTTGAAACACAATCACAGCCCGAAGTCACGAGAGACGAAGAAAGCGATCAAGACACTCAAGATAGGGAGTCGTCGGAAGGTGAGAACGATGATAACGAAGACTCTGACGAGTTCGAGGTGAGTTGACTATTCGTATGGGTTTTACTTCTAAAGTATTAACTAAAAATTAAATTTGAGATTATATAAGTCTGGTCGATAAGAGCTCAGTTTTAGGTTTACTAATGTAAGAATTTTCGCTACTAGCACTTTATTAATCCATTAACAATGTTAGTTTTGCACACGATTAACAAGGGGGATATTACCTATTGCGTCGGAAACTTTACTAACAACATTTGATTGATGGTCCACGGGCACTTTCATTTCCCGGTAGTTATTGCAATTATGGGTAATCTTTGAAGGGCTATAGTCTAGCTTTCTGATAGGTCTTGCAGCGAGTCAGTTTCCAGTTCTTGTTTAAGTAATTGCGGAGATAGATAACAACCTCAGAGCACGCCCGCGATACTATTGAAAAGGCATTTGTTTTCAGCGTCTCGTATCTGATTTGAACCAACCACGGTCGCGGTTGAAATGTTTAGCTGCCAATTTAAATATTATTACTAAAATGTTGAGATAAGTTACACATATAAAGGCTATTTACTTCGAAAATAGCCTTTTTTGAAATTCTTAAAAATTGCAGCAAATATTTTACGTAAATGGTTAACAAATATTTTTGTGAATATTGTGCTTGAATCACATTAAAATTTTTCCTTATTAGGACTACTTTTGCTAAATAGCATATATGTAAATACATAGCTAACACTGAGTTTACCAATAAGTGGATACGAATGGGAACAAAATTGCAGATCCCAGAAATAATTCTGTCGTCAGATATATGTAATAATTTCATCTTTGATCACATATTTCAATCTAGTGCTGAATATTTATTTTATAAGCACTATTTTGTACAGGATTAAGTTTTTAGGTAACACTTGTTTAAATAGTTTACATCTGTTTATGTTCAATTTGCTAAACATGTCGTTACACCATCCAAGTCCTATTTCCTTCCCATTTTGTCGTTGCTTATGCCATTTGGTGTACGTATTTCACTGTGGTGGAGCATTATCAGTCACTGCTGCTGTACGATTTTCGTCTAGTCGAAACTAATATTTTCCACGGGTAAGTCATTAGAAAAAAAAAAGAAACAACAAAAATAAAGTAACAGCCTATATATGTCTCATTGAGGCCTCATTTTTACATAGGGTAATAAGGTCATAGTCTACAACGCAACACCGCCGCGCATTGGGAGAATTCATATCTTCGAGATTTTTTTAATAAGCATTTCGAAAGTATGTAGGTTTCCTTACGGTATTTTTCCTTCATCGGTGGCAAGTTATGAGTCAGCACTTAAAAGCGAGCACCGACATTGAGCTATTACAGCCCTCGTTATTACATGAAGCTTCTCACTGGCACCGGACTCTAAGCGGCCCTCCGTAACCTCCGTCGATACAAGAGCTGTGCGAATCAGCCCGCTTGACCGGGGAAGCACCGCCGTCAATTCGGCAGCAGAAGGGGCTTTTTCTGTCGTCCGTAGATACGGCGACAGAAGGAGGCCTTTTATGTGGTCCATCTATACGGCAGCAGAAGGAGGCCTTTTATGTGTGGTCCGTACTTACGATGGCAGTAGGAGGCTTTTTGTGTGGTCAGTCCAAACTGAAACAGAAAGAGGCATTTTGTGTGGTCCGTCCATACGGCGATAGAAAGAGGTCCTTTGAATGAACCGCACATACGGCGGCAGGAGGGCTTTTGTGTGGTCCGTTGATACGGCAGCAGAAGGCTCCGCCACAGTGGGTTAAGTGTGCGATGCGATGGTCAGCGCGGTGGGCGGCGGGTGGCGTGGCGCGCCGGCGTCGCCGAGAGCGGTGTGCGCGCCGGCCGGCTGCACCGCCGCGACACCCCGCACCACCTCAAGAACAAGCGCGTCAGCCAGATGGACGCGGGCCGGGCGCGGGACCTCATAGCGCAGGTGCCGTGCACGACGCCGCTCGTTGAGTGGCCGCCTGTTACACAGTGCCGCAGCGCTTCTTAAAGCCTGGTTTCTTAAAGACTTGATCATCGTAGATGTTAAATAATCAGCTGTCAAATGGCTTTTCAAATTTCATTTTAGTTGCCAAAAGGATAGTTAAACTCTCAGATCTCCTTAATGATCAGAATGATCAATTCAAAGAGTTAAAACCATCCTTTTGGCAAGTCAAATAACATTTGAAAATCCATTTGGCAGCTGATTAGTTGACATCTACGATGATCAGTGTTTCAGAAACCGGGAGTTAGACGCGCCTCTGGAAGTTGAAATCTTAAAAAAAAATGCGCAGTATACGACGTCAGTTATTTTTTTTTTGTGTTAATGGAAAAGTGCAAACGAGGTGGCGGTCAAGTAAGTGTCTACTGCCGTCTGTGAACACTCGCTAGACCATGAGCGGTTAGTCGTAAATGTTGCACATCGGCCTTTGGAATCTTTTCTCTCGATCTCTTTCCAAAGGTCCATGTGAAATATTCATCGCCGAGTACTCTGCACAGCTTATAGATATTGATGGGTCCACATTCGGGGTTGGAATTGTATTGCCATTACACTGCTATCACACTGCTATCTTAATTCTAGCGTCCACCGGTTATACGCTGGTGTGCAGTTGTAAACAGAGCAATATTAGGTTGTTTTGATAAGTGATTTCAACACCTGAGAGTACACGCCTACACCTACGTACGGCAACACTTCTCTGATACTTTTCCATTAAAAAACACGCACAGAACTCGGAGTGCTAACTTCATCGAGACGCATTTAAGTTTAACCAACTGTTTGTCGGCTGCTATTTACCCAGTCCCTTTTAGATTTGCCTTGACATGGGTAGATAAAACAAGTTGCTTTATTTTTATTTTATTTATGACTTATTGCCACGTGGTGAAAAACCAAAATAACATAAAATTTTCCATTTCGTGTACCGTAGTCATATAAATTTCACTCAACATATAATATTGATGACAATATGACTATACAACGTCGCCGTTTGCCGTCGCTACCCCTAACTTGGGTTAGTGGTTCTATCTACATTGTTGGCATATTCCGTATGATTTACATCAAAACGATTTAAATCAGACTGAATAGAGATCATGTTAAGTGTGATGGATATTCAAAAGCTTGTAAAGCCTCTGTTTAATTAGTACAAAATAATTGCAATAATCTTTGGATTTTGTAATCATTCGCCATTAATCTTAAATAATAATTAAAACAGTTTTAGAAAATATGATTGATAGCCGAAAGTGTTATTTTATTAACAACTGTTTTATTATTGATTACTATAGTATAAATATGTTCATATTAAATATGAAAAAATATCGTCAAGGCCAGCTAATACGTTGACTATCACAACAATTACCGGGACAGCGGTATAGCACTTGCCAGTTTCTAATAAAAAATAAATGTTAGAAGAGGTAAACTGTCTTCTTTGGATGTTGGAATTCTGCATATCTTTATAACATAGGTATGAATGTTCACATGTAAAAATTGTTTAATGTTCCCAAAATATCGCGTTCTCGGTACACACATACAGAAGTGAAATTTAACAAACTTAAATTATCACAAAACACAATAATACATAAATTACACAACATGTGGTTACACCATTACACCTTTTCAAATATAGCGTTCGGCAGACTACGACCTGTGCGCTTATTCTATTACTTTATATTGAGTTTATACGTCTCTCTCTACGTTATATATTTCTTTTCTCTCATGTAACGAAATGTGACAAAACATGATGACTCCTAGACATTTAGATCTCATTTCGCGTCCAATTATAGAAACGTCGGCCAAGAAGTTTAACTTCGGAAATAATATATAATTTTATTGCATCTATCGACATTGGGTAACAGGCGTCTGAGTGAATTTTGCTTTTGTAACAGGCTTATCAAATTTAACATGTGCATGTTTGTATATTTTATATGACATAATTATTTCATTTGCTGCAGATACTGTAATTTATTTATTTATCAGCTTTGTAGTCAGATTGCATGTTTTTGTTTATTCTATATTAAAAACTAACAAAGTTTCATTAACATAACAATAGTAAGAAACATGAGAAGTATGATTGTACCTATTACATATTTGCTATGCCCGTAAATTTAAATAATGCCGCGTCCTATTTATGTATGATGAACGTTTCTGTCTATGATTTTACGACATCATTGTAGTTTTTAAAATATCACCAACTATTCAACATCACCAAGGTTATCGAAGTGACATTGTGTGCAATCCTTTACTGTAGGCTATTTATACATTAGAAATACAGTATACTGTATATACTATTTAAATTGTATATGTACATGTAACATTCGCTGTAAGCGTGATCTAAGAAGTCGTGATGTCTCGAGAGAATATAATATAATGGAGGCGGTTGAGAAAGGGTAAAAGCGGACGCGCGGGCCGCGACGAAATTTCTTATCCGCCGTTAAACAGTATAAACAATGGACTCGTGAGATCTGCACCGTGACAGCGGCAACGGCTACAGTACGCGGACACAACATCTTCGTGCTCGCACTCGATCGGGAAACGTCGAAATCCGGGCGCCGTCTTGCGCTAGGCCATGCGTTAATCCCCATTATCGACCTCCGAGTCGGGTCGAAAGTCGGTAGTTGGACCGGTCGGGTCGAAAATCGGTCGGCGGACGAGTCGGGCGACGGGTCGGAGGCGCGGCGATTCGCGCGGCAATTATTGTCGGTGTGCGTCTGTCACGCGCCGGTGCACGCGGGCCCTGGACCACGACGCGCGGCGTCAGACCCTCGGAGGGGCTCGCGGAAATGGGCGCATCGAGTCCGCACGCCGCCCGCGACGCCCCGCGCTATCTACCGGCGAGTGGACTAGCGAGAGAGCTGAACGAACTCTAGACACCGTTACCGGGGCAAATCGGTCCGCTTCACCAATCCCTCGCTCGGAAATGAGGTGCTTGAAATTTGCGGGTGGATGGCTTGCGCGGGTGAGCTAACGACGTCTTCGTAGTTTCGATTCCCACCTCGACTTATCGGAACACGTTTTCACTTCACTAGCACAGGTTTTTGGTCCTTTTTGACGTTTCTAAATGTTCGGAACAAGCCTTTGAATGGAGCTATTTCGTCTTGGGCTTCGATGTAACAACGGTTTAGGCCCGTTTGAGTTTGTTTTGCTTGGCGTGTTTAATTTGTTATTGAAAGCATGCTAATTAATTCTTTCTGTTTTTGCGTTTCAATTCTATATAAGTGGAGCGCCTGCTTTAAATGTCAAAATATTTTTTCCGTGTAAATTTTTATGTGCGATTCTCTTGCAGGCGATAAAGAAACGCGAACAACACGAAGAGCACAAGACTGATGAAGAAGAGGCCGTGGACGACGTCCCCGATGGTAAGTAAACCTGCTTTAAAACATATATCATAACTTACAACGCACAATTCCTTATCTTGTATTAGATTACATTATTCTATTTAAAGTTAACGCTATGCTACACGATAAGAACATCATTACATTGCAAAAATATAGATCGCGTATATTTTGAAGGTAATCGTACATACTTGCATTGTTGGTATTGGATGTTATTCATTAGTTTTACAAAGTTACATGTTGACATTAATAGATCTGGCCCGAAAAACGACATCCGATCTATCCGACGTTGTAACAGAGTAGCTTGGACGCAACGGTATAAACGTTACCAAAAGACACATCGAAACCGTAATCGGATACGATATTTCGCAGCAGCATTTGGTCGAAATGAATAGTATTGTCGTGTTTCGAAATAGTTTTATATATTCACAATGCACGTTGTCACCTGTACTTGAAACTCCGAAGCATATTATAGTTTAGTTTGTATTATTATTTCGGACACTCGTGATCACGATTCTCACGAAATACGGCCATCTAAAGTTCACGCAACAAAGAACCCGCCGTTCTATGTCAGCGGGGAACTTTCGAACGGATCGGTTTAACATAGAGTAATTTCTTATCCGGCGCTATTACAAACGATGTATTCAATCTCATTGTCGTCAATCATTAACCACTATAATTAAGTTGTTATTTTTATTTCACTATACAGTTTTCGTTTCATTTTAACTGACGTTATAATATCATATCATTTATAGCACTAGCTGAACTCGGCCACGGTTCGCTGTGGTGTTTTTGGTTTGGTTTACGTTGCAACTATGAAATACAAAATTATATAAAAGCACTCTCCTGTTCAATAGCTATGTTGTGAACTAATATCAGCTCAGCTTTTTTTTATTAAAAGAAATGTTTAATATATAAATGAATGGTTAATTGTAGCTAGCTTTTGTAAAACGAGACGGACCAGGTTATCATCGATATTGCGCCCTTACCGATGGGAAATGATGGTATAAAAAACATAAATTTGGAACAATATCTGATGTTCGCGTTATCTTTACTAGACACTTGTGACATTTTAATGTTAAGTACACAACTGCGAAGTTCAGCAACGAATCGCTGCCTGAGCTGTTTTTGGTCCGAAATGTTACAATACATACATTGGCACATATACACACATATTGGCACGCTTAAGGCCCATTTACACGATGCCATTTTCTTGTACATACAAGAGCAATAATTGAATGCAATAAATTGCGCGCAATAATTGTTTAGACCATTTGTTGTTTAGACCATGCAACTCATTTATTGCTTCAATTTAATTGTATACAACTGGCACCATGTAAATGGGCCTTAAGCGTCGCTCGCCGCACGCGAGTCGACGCGGCCCCTACGCAACGTTGGCGTTGGAATTCAGCAATATCAATCGGTATCGCGACGTTATCAGCTTATCTCGCGCTCGGGCCATTTTTCCCTCGCAGGACGCTCAGTGTTCGTCTACTCGCGGCAATGTTCGTACGAATTGATTATATCGAGCGAAACCGTGTGTCGCGTGACACTTCGCGAGCTATGCATTAGAAATTACATTGTATGTGCTCATCGAAGGATACCTATGTAGACGGGCCGCGCTGTCACATAGAAATTCGCCAAAATAGTACGCTCGGGAGCGTAGTGTTGTGTCTTATCGATCGAGTGCACGTACAATCGGTCGGTTTTCAAATTTAGGAGTGCCAAAATTTGCTCGAATAGTGTATTTCTCATTCCCAGTGAAGAAGAGTGGGTCGGCGATGTACGATTTTAGTAAACATTTCGATTAGTAGCGGCTTATACAAATACTTAGCTTTTCGTAAACACATGTCGGGAGTAATAGATAGCTAAGTTTTTGAGTTAACATACGAGTCATATTTGTTAAGAATAAACATGAGCTCATTATTATAGTTTGAGACGTCGCACTTACTCGAGCATTGTTGATAGCGAAGGTCATGCGTTATTGTCACTGCTACTTGTAAACAATATCATGTGATCCATGAACGAACACCATGTCTTCTGTTACAATCGCCGTTGCGCCCGGAAGCCTTGATTTGCTCTATTAATCTAACAATCGCGGTCTGTAGCCAGTTATCTTCCTGCCCCTACTTTCTCCACGCTCGAAGCACCACTGGCGACTTGTCCGTCGTCTAATGGTCTGTATAAAGCGTTGTATAACAAGGCACTGCACTTTCCCACAGTCGTAAGGAAGCAGTCTAATCCTTTCTAGCCAGTGTACGGAGAGGGCTTTTACCGGGACCGGTTTAAGTACGTTTTGACACGCACCTGCGTAACATATTTTGCACAGTTGCTCATGGATTTCCTGAATACCACTCCCTTTTGATAACGGATGTGAATTATAGAGTTTATATATAAAGTAGATAAGTTATACACACAGATAGAGAGAATTAAATCGCGAGGTTCGAAATGGGATTACGACTTTATCCACCGAATTCGGCTGGCTTGTATTATAGTTTTAAACATACATATTGTTGTATGGAATGTATGACACGTACTATTATTGTATACTTGTATGCTATTTATTTATTTGGTTTCAAATAAATGATAATGAAATATAACGTTGAAACTAAAAATGTTAGGTTCCTTTTTATAGATCGATTGTTTTAAAAACCTTTAAAATAGTAGTGCCTCGAAGTTAAACAATAATGTTATGGTTATTAAAGCGGCCAATGCGACAAAAGTAAAAAGATTAACATAAAGGCTACCTGTTGGCTGCTTGCCAAACTCAATAATGTTTGTATAGACCATAATTATAATATTTTAATTGATTGTATAGACCTAAGAATGAGATTTAAAATTTAATTTGTTTTCAACACAGTATAAAATCCAAAAATGTTGTATTGCGCTTTTTATACCGTTAACAAAAAAAAATAAAGCAACGTTTTATAAGGGACAACCCTTTTGTTTAGATTTGATATTATTTATTTTTCCGAACAGAGTCGTAAACGATTGTTCGAAGGAAATAATAAAAAAACGGGAACATAAATAATGAATTCAAGCCATTGAACTATTGACACTATCTTATCAGCTACAGTGGAACCACTCGTTTGAAGAAATGTCCCAACATTGCCCCGAGTGCTCTTGTACGACACGGTTTCCGTCGCCGCGTGTTTATCTGTGTAATTGCAGAGCCATTGTATCTTGATAACGAGATATCATTGCATATTTTGCAGTAAATCAAATCTATACCATTGACTAAATACTCGCGTTAAAACATTTTATTGTTTTAAATATAGCAGTGCAAAAATAAATCGAGCTGCATTGCCGCGAAACGTCTAATAAGAAATTCTAAAATAGATCGTTTCAGTGAGCGTGCACTTAAGACACGACGTTCGTCCCACGATTAATTGTTCATCGTTTCCTTGACAGCCGATCTTTGTCGTTTTCCCGTCTGCACCGAATCGACGGAATCTCGTATCATACACAGTTCTTTTAAATTTCAACCGTAATTGACTCTGACAACGCTACTATTGCTCGCAGACTTGTATCGGGCTCATTTACTAATTCCCCGACAGTCATTAGACATCATTACGACAAAGTACAAAGCAAATGTCTACACTTTCTTCGATATGATGTATTACTTTGTCGATGTATTTGTGAACGTGCTTTAGGAGCGTACGTATTATATATTTAGCTATAATGTCAGTGAACGTGTGAAACGCGAACTGCAGTGAGTGAGAAATGAAGGACAAAAGGTTGGAGTTGAAGCTGAGTGTCCGCGGAGATGGCTCGCTAAGCCGTGGCAGCAACCGCAGCAGCACTAGAAGCAACCGGAGCAACGTCAGCAGTAACGGTCCCGCACTGCCGGTGAGCGAGATATTCGCGACCGATCGCTTCTCGGCGCCCCAGCACCAGCCCTTCGACATACGGGACAGGTACCAGAGGCAGCCCATCCAGCATGCATACCCAGCGCAGAGCCTGCAAACCTTGAATCATTACGATCAATCGCAGCGCTATCAAGACAACGCCCGCGGCCGAAACAATCCCTACGTAGACACTGAGCCGGTGCATCACAACGGTGGATATGGACATCCGCCCAATTTCCAGTATCAGTCGGTGTACGATGATCGCCACAATCGAATTTACTCGTCCTTGAGCCGTCCCGACATACGCGGCCAAGAGACTCGAGAGTACAACACACTGCCGCGCTCCATACTGCAACGCGAGCAGCCCAGAGCACACCCCTATGGCAGCTATCCGCGGCAGACATGGCACCAAGAACACGAGGACAATGCTCACTACTACAACTCGCTTCCTCGTTACGCGCAAGACTACGTCGGTTTCAACGCAGGTCCTGGACATTACACGCTGCCCACCGTGCGTAGAGTGCGCATCAGCGAACATCAGCCGGTTGTGTATGGATATGGTATGTTCGATAAAAATTCACAATATCTTTTTGTTAATCTTTTGTTTTATTTACGCACATTGTTAAATAGTACTTTTCGAACACTTAGATCACGCCGCGCTCACGACACGTCCACAAGAATCAAATTAAGCACGATAAAATCCGGATAGTAGTTTAGCAAAATATCATTGTTTTTCATGTTTTAGTTATTGCTTTATCCGTTCACTTTACACACGTGTTATTTAAATGACAAAAAATTCTAATTATTTACATAAATCAACAAACAAAATGAACCACGTTCTGAAAGGCAATAGGTGCCTACCGTTGTATGTTTTACGATAGTTAGAAACTTCATAAGTTGTCGCAATTACAATTATGATAAAGAGGATATCTGCAATATCAACTAACTATTCGCTATCAGGAGAAATTGGTCTTGGAAAGCTGATTTGCATAGAAACTAAGCTAGTAATCGATACAAGATGTACGTACACCAATATTCTGTGAGTTTTCACTTTCAGTTATTCGCTAACGACACCTTATATTCATAAACACTTCAATGCACAACAGAGGCAATCTCTACTTTCTATGCAATTTTCTTAACGATTATCGTTAAAATTAAAATCAAATATTTGCAGGTATTTATGATAATAATTCGTATCAAAACGCGAACACATTTTGATGCGTCCTTTCAATTTAGCCTTTAATTAATAAAAATAAATCGTAAACGTCGAAAATCATTTTGAAAGCAAGCTGCCTTAAATTAAATCGATCAAGCCCTCATCGAAAAGACAAATTTCGCTTTGATAAGAATTTTTTTCATGACGAAGTGTACGTACAAGTGTGCATGTGCGGTGGTGTATATTCGAATAAATTATCCTTTTCACAACAATATAAATGGCATATGGAAGCGGACTAAATAAAAATGAATGAATACAATTATTTTGCAGTGAAAACTTCTATTATATACTAATATATAGGTACTTTGGGCAATTTCTTTTGGTCACATCTTGTGTCATTGCCGTTGGTGACATTCAAATTTTGATATAATTTGGTACTTTATTTTACATTTCTAGTTATTTGGTAATAGTATTTTTCTCGCATATTTTAACGTTCAACGTTAATAAAATTGTTTAAAAAAATAATCACTCAAAATTTATGTTTATTGGTTTAAATTGTCACAAATAAAATGGGTCTTTGCAGTTTAAATGTTTTGTGATTTTAATAATTCAAACTATAATTCATTTAAAAATTCAAATAAAACACAGTTATTCCAGTTCAGGGTCTTCACTTCTGTCGACAGTCGCTTATTTTTTTTATTTAAAATTCAGTCATACATTTATATAGCTTGGCGTCACTTCATTTGACCTTTGTTCCTCCGGAATCTATTTTTTTGCTCACAAACTGAACAGTGCTTTTACCATCCCACCTGATGTTAACCAATGATGTAATCGTAAAATAATATCGTTTGTAAATTATTAATCGGAATAATTTCGGACAAAACTGCTCGTGTAACAAAGGCGAACGGAGTGGACATCGGTATATTATCGATATTTATGCGTGTGTGCACATGTAGGGCGAGATGTGGGCCAACCCTCCCCGGGGACGCGACAACAATAGCAGCAGCAGGCCACTCTCCCCGTGTTAAATGGTGCGCTCTAATGAGCCAGCCCCGTCAGGTGCGCACAGTTCTCATTACGCCTCCATACGTCACACGTTGAGAGCCCTGAGTTTTTTTTTTCGTTTTTGTCAACACGTCAACGCCGCGCGCTCAAAATGGCGGTAACTAAGTCAGCTGTTCGCGGCATTATGTGCTCCCTAATGGAGTTCACTTTTAAAGCGAGTAAGTTTAGTACTGTTCTTTGTTATTACGTTTTAAAATTATTTATATATTCCCTTATTTACGCGTCAATCCCGTGTCCGTGGACCCTGCAAGATGTTCGAAATTTGAGCATTACAAGAATTTTTATTTCGTCATAAAAACCGTAATTTTTCGTAAATATGTAAATTTAATATCAATAATTTAAGTTTTTTAATGACCAATTGCTAAATTATTAGCGCTGGAACAAAAACTTGACTTGACATCACAGGGAATTAATGTAAATGAGTGTACTTATTTTCTAATACGCAAATATTAGCGCCATTGTTTTGTTGTGTGAATCATCGCTTCGTTTCGGAGAGGCTGGTATTTGCCTCGCCTCTCGTTGCTCGATTTTGAATAATGAAATACCGGTTTTCGAAGGTTGACCGCGAAGTAAACACCACTTTTATTTTTGTTCTGTTCGTAAATCGCCGCTGCCGTTTCGTTCTGCGTTTTTTTTTTCAACAAATTGGCCTTTTTTATTTCAGCTTAAATCGTAACGTCTAAAGCTTATCAAAGTGTCACTTTCATATTTACACCTGACTATCTAGGAGATTAATCTTAATGTTTTTTTTTGAAAGCTCAAAACGCCCGTGCAAAAAGCTGTAGGTTGCATAACGTACTACAGCTTATGAAATTAGTTTATTTCGACATTATTAAACGTCCATTTTCCGTTTATCTGATAGAAAGTATGCAAATGTAGATGATGTACATAAGTATATTAAATGCATAAAAGGAAAGAAAGTAAGTAGTTTTATGCATCAAAAGCCATGACTAGGTACTAACATATCTTAAGTGGTCTTATTATGTTATACTTAAACATGAATACTGCGTTAAAAAGTAATTTTTTTAATTTAATTTAGTTAAGTTTTATGAAAATAAAATATCTGTCCAATTTTAATTTTGGTTCTTTGATAAACACATTTCTATTAAATAGCTTTATTCTTCACTCATCAATTTAACTTTTGCGGTTTGTGGCAAAGTGCACTTATCATGAGAAATTGTAAAAGTTTCTCACACTTTATAGGTTGCTTCCTTCCCTTTCGTTTTATCGATATAAGACCTTAAGTTGAACGAAGGCACTTCCGGTTGCAGACAAAATTTATTGCCGATAGTACTACAGAATTATGACCATCCGGGACAGAAGTAATAAAACTAATGTGACTTCGGCTTATGTCGAACTGAGCGTTCAATGCCGTGACTACATAGAAACGTTAACCAATTAATTTTCGAATCACACAGTTTTCGGGTACTACAGTTAGGTATCTCACGACATCTTTACTCTTCGTATCACACGACAAGCTGAACATATTAAAGAGTCAAATGCAGCAAAATCAAACCGGAGCCAAGAAATGTTGCACGAATGCAAAAAAGGCCGTGCCGTATCCAAGTAATGCCTATGTCTTGACAAAAACTTCACTTACGTGGAAACTTTGTTTCGTTCACGTGTTCTAATTTTTTGTGTTAGTAAATAATCGGCGAATGTTTCTAATTTGTGAGACCACCTTTCTCTGTGTAGTAATTACGGGAGATAGTTCGGTCACTATTTTTATCCGTATGATTGGGTAACATTATTCACTGTCGTGACCTTTGCGATGGCGTTATTGCGTTGTTATTCTTACGAATTACGAATGCGATTACTGTAATTTAATTGAAAGTCGAAAATTTGAATTGCAACAAGGAAAGTGCGCCAGTGACTCTGCCCCGTTCCAGCTTTATCTCGGAGTAATAACGCGTTCGCTTTGCACTTCTGTGGCGGCTTTGTACCCTAGCCTTTCTAATTCATTCCGTCCGTCTAAATCAATCTCGGTGTAAAGATCGCAGGCGTCTCGAGTTCACCCCGGTCGGCGGGCACCACATAAATCTACTAGGCGATCAGAAACGACCTGGCAGACGGGAATGGCTTTGTGTGAATCCGCGCTGTGGACTCTGAACTCGAAAGCGACCCCGCGAAATTATTGAAACATAATCGCCAGTCGATACCTAGTGAAAAGGATTTATTTTTGAATAACGTATAATATCCCCAGCATGTCCGATTCCACAGTAGAAATCTTTGTTTCTAATGTTGTGGAAAGTATACCACCAACAGCGTATTAAAATGAACGCATACATTAGCATTAAAGCTGACGGTAAATCTCGTAAGGAACTTTTCGTGTCATCCACCTACAAGAAAAAGGCTCTGTCGCGACGAATTCCTCTCAGGCTACATCACCATTACCGTTATACGAGTCGCAAACCACCGGAACGTCGAGAAAATGTCCATTCGTTATCAAGTTTATTAGCGTTTTAGCATTAGTAAGTAGGACTAAATATATCCACTCGACTACTGTCTGCAGTGTAGACTTGGCACGCTTGCATAAATCAGATGCAAGGCGTGCAGTTCTCAATACGCTTTCGAAAGCTGAAACTAATATGTCCTGGAATAATAATCCGTTGTGGAACTGAAAGCCCTAACCCGACAGAGGAGTTATGTAATTATCTCAGTTACGGATAAGAGTGAACTGTTGAATTAAGTTATTGCCTATCAACTTGACGTTTCCGCGGGATTAGTGTTGACTGATTATAATCTTTTAATAATTTTACCTCTCTTAGGGAACCGGGTTGAACTCTCAGAAATTTTCTCCATAGGACCATTTTTGGGTTTTTTAAATACTTGCCTATCTTTTTTAGTTTCTTAATGTATTTTGTAGTTTAAAAATCATGTTACCGAAGGGCTATGGGTATAATCCATTCCAATCGAATTATCTGAAATAACAGGGACGTAATAACTATAGATGTCAAATTATGTAGAACTAGAAAAAAAAACATAACGGAAGAGTCTATTAGTCCGTTCCAACGGATCCCACTCAATCGATTTAAAAGATTAAACTAATGGCTTCATTATGTTTAATCGGAAGAACGCGTGTTGAAACGAAAGTGTTCTTGCTGTGCTATTGGAAATTGATGGAAGCTATCGAAGTAAGTAATGCGAGGGTAAAAATAAAAGGAGCGCGTGTTCTATGGCCAGGCTGTTACTTTCTATTTTTAAACGGGAGGAGAGGAGGCGCCACAGCCTCTACATCCCGTGGTGGTGACCGCTCGGCGCGCGCGCATTCTGTCGGCGCCCACCACTTGAGCCGCTTGCGCGTTCGCGTTTAATACTTACCGATAAATAATTCGACGG